ATCCGGCAAAATTTCAAAAAAAGTTACTGCTGCACCATAAATCTACCAGAACAACAATGCAAGTTATAATCTTGACAAAAAAACATCAYGTTTSCAAGTAGTAAAAGGTTTTGATAACAAAAACTAAGCTGAACTATTGTTATATGAGTTCATYAACCTTTTGYCCTGAGGCTCCTGTCAACACAAACGTGGAAAATGATGGTAGAGGATGTTGACATTTCTCTGGCCAACACTGAATGATTGTACCAAATGGCAGACAAAACATGGGAACTCCATCAGGTAGTGRAAAGTCTWTGTGGTCCACAGGAGGAAAACGACACAGTATCTCTGATAAACATTAAACACAGTACATAGGTTATCTTCAAGATAGATTTGATGAGAAGTGTTTACAGTTAATAATTGTTGATGTTTGTGTTTACCGGGTTGGTACATGATTGATGTTGATCTTGAGAGAGATTTTCTGTAACACAAGAACACATCACTGCCAACCTAAAAACAGGAAATTGTGATTTTATCATTATTTYARAAATCAACAACACCAATTGAGATGAAAGAGCAAGAATTGGTCTTAGTCCATCCATTCAATGTCAACAGAAACTTCAGGTAATAGAGTTAAATCCAAATCTGGCTTTAAAACAGAATTTTCCATTTTGAGATGCCACATTGTTAAATGCATAACTCAATGATCATAATTAGATTATCTCAACTAACCATTCCTTTGTTCAGATTTCTTTCAATCAAACAAAATGCATGAGGTGGTTTCTCTCCCTAAATAAGAAATAATGGATTTATTACCCTGTCTCAACATCAACCTTCTGTGTGTTGTTGGGTAGGGTAGGAGTGTTAAACTACAAGGGCTGTGCATAGCATGTTCGCATCTAAGAGGTGATGCAAACATGGAATGAATCAAGACTTACCTTACTGGCTACAATCACACATATCTCTGTTACAGCTAGTGATGTATGGGCCATCTGTTGGGAGGCTCGGCGATAGGTAATAAATGTCCTACTACCTCCACTGTTATTAACATTAGCAGACTTTCCRTATGGTGTATGTGTGATGAGATCACAACCAGACATAAGTCTTTCCTTTCCATCATACAACACTCTAAAGGACAACATAATTATCAGCTATGAAGACAGGTACATTATCTATCAATGTAAGATATTTGAGTACTGCCTATCCATTCTGGATAAAAAACATACCCAATGTATGTCAAAGGAGGTTTGTCCAATCCTCTTTTATAACACAAGAAACAAGAAGGTTGTCTTATTGAGCCATGGTTGAGATCAGCAGACAGTCCTGCAGGTGACTTWTCAATGATGGTGTAACCAGACGGAACCTTCTCRCCAAGACTCTTAAATATCACTGCTAAATCTGTGATTGGTTCCAAAAATGTTGACTCTCCATCCCCAAGCCTGTCAACATCAGAYGGCAGACTTGTYTTCCCAAGACCAGCTACGACAAAGTAGTCRGCAACYCTCTGGGGCTTATCCTTGTCAGCCATAGTTGATGGCTCATGACTTCCTATAATAAATCAAAACAGAGAATGAATATGATGTAAGACAAAGTAAACAGAAAAAAAGTGCTAACAAAATAACAGATCTGTTTTTAAAAGTCYGCATTWCAAGATTATTATCTTGACAAAGGTAAGCAAATTTCACATAATGTGTAAAAGCTTTTACAGACATAACAAATAGAGGTAAAGTGAGTACATAGATGTATTATCACTGATTTAACTTTTTTGAGTTAATCAAAAGAATAATCAGCTTTGAATCATTCTAAACATATAGAATTTTTGGTGGCCTAAACACCAAGGACTATGTCTAGAGAATATGCAAAARYATACTGTCTGATTTAAACCAGTTTGTAAAGCATTGGTGAGCAGCACTACTCTAATATRCATATAAMATGCACATATCAGCCTTAAGGGAAAAAGTTATWTATCTTATTCATGGAGTTGTATAAGCTAATCATAAAATTTAACATTGAAATGTAATTTAAACCTGATTAATTAATATATAATGTTATATGGTGGTACAGGTACTTGAACATTTTGTAG